TGAAGGACCTCATCCTTGTCGACGACAGTCGCGTGAGCCATGCAATTGCATTGTACGAAGACGACCGAGACGTGGAGGAAATGCTCGACACGCTCTACCGCATTGCTAAGTCCACGTCGGCGCGGGCGTAGGTAGCACAACTTTATCCGTTTAAAACAAGCTGCTTCTTACACGATTGCAGTCCATTACCTGGCACCGTGCTACGTCAGCAGTCGGCGCCCGGACTGGGGGAGATGTTGATCTCTGGCGGGGCGAGGAGAAGTATCGGTGGCAAGATCACGTCACTGTCGTGATCTTTGCAAAGCGCTGTGACCAGCAACGTGCGTGGCTTTCTCATCGGAACAGCATGGCTTACCGCCGCGCACGTCTCAAACACGCTGCAGAATGAAGCAAACACAAATGAGAACACTCCACTGTGCGCCGAAGCCTTTCACGTACTTTGATTTCAGCGACGTGGGGTCGTTTGCCGCATAGATATCCATGTTGTGGCACGTGAGCCGTTCGACGTGAACTTCGTACAGCGCCTGCGAACCATTCATTTTTTCATGAGCTTGGTCCAAGGAATTGGGATTTGGAAGACACCTTCAAGTGGCGCAGAATGTCTTCTACAGTGATAAGCCTTGGGATGTCGGTGCACTGGATCACGACCTTGTGCCTACGAAAATGCAGCTGACGTTCATCTGCCCAACGGACAGCAACGAACGGACCACAGCGTCATGTTTTCGGGGCAGATGCGAAGTGGCATGCCCCGTGAACGATCCATGGACGTCGATGCCATGACCGCTGGTGGCCGAGGGGTGTGGAAGTGCAGCGACCCGCTGGACCCGACGTACTCGCACGACCGCAATGCAGTAGGTTTCCGAAACAAGATTTTCGTGGCTTCGATTGCAGCGAGGGCGCCGACAATTGTAGCCGTGGCTAGCGAATCTGCTCGGCACCCACACATCGCCTTACAACAAAAGAATGAGGCCGGGGCGATGCCGTGCACGGCGGCGACGGTGTTGGCCAAGAGCTGGACAAAGTGCACGTGCATGTTGGCATCGTCCATCTACCGTGGGCAGGTCTCACAAACACACTCATACATGGTCCAACGCACAACGTTGCAAGGCGTGGGGCGTATGCGATCCACAACGGATTGCATTTGAATGGCTGTCATCGCCTGAAACGCTTCTTGTGACAGCGCAGGCTGCGCAGACGGAGCTACGGCTGCAGTGATAACGTCACGACAAGTCGCTATGGTCACATCTAATGCGGCCGCCCTCGTCAGATGCGGTCAAGGACGATAGGTTACGTTGCAATGTCGACACGGTGCGGCCGAATAGCACAGCAGCGACAGCGACGAGGTCGCCATGAGTGGCAGTGCTCAATGCGATGCCATGGGGGGCCAAGACCGCCTAGATGTCAAGTCAAACGCGCCTCGGACTCGTGCTCCTCGTAATACTTTTAAGAAAAACTGCGCGGCCGCCACACAAGCCGAGATCGATGTCAGCGCTTGGTACCGATCATATGCGTCGTGTGCCAGTTGGATAAACGCGGGGTCGCGCCTCTTGGCCCGAGATGCTCCGACTTTGTCTGTCCAGACTGCTCGAAGGCACACAAGACTTTGATGAAATGTGTTGTCGAACACAGCGCGCGCCCATTGCACGATGTGGTCGATTTCAAACGCAGTTGGGTCTGTGGCGTGGTCTACATGATGGGGGAGCGATTTGTGCGATGGGGAAATCGACGCCCGGAATATGGCGAGGCGGTCCAACAGGAACAGCGACGTTGACGCGGGGTCTGTCTTGAGCTTTGACTCGGCCCACCGCTCCGTCACGTGCGGAGCAAACGACTGTGTGAATGCTTTCAACCCGTGCGACTGGCCCAAAACGAATGGCTTGCTGTAAAGGAAGCACTCGTCGTCCAGGAGCAATGTCGTCTGATGCGGAGGAGGCACGTCAACCCACCGCGCGTTCGAATTGGGGCGTCGACGTACGTGATTTGCATCGACAGTCGTCACTACAACGTCGGTCGGCTGCCAAAACGCCTCGTTGAAATGCACGCTCTACGTTCGCGACCCCAACGTGACCCCAACTCTGACCAAGCTGATTCACAGAGGAAAGCGCCGCACTTGAGATTGCTGGTAATGTAGAGGGATCGCAGTCCACGACGGATGGTGCACTTGGAGAGCGTGGGCTTTGTTCGACCCCACGTCGGCGTCCCGATATCCACATTGCGTGGCCAAATCTTGCCGCTGTCACAAGCATCAATCGTTGTTAAGGCATTCGAATCCGTTTCGGACCTTGACCCGACCACCGTCGACCATGACGCCATTTTTCACGCCGATTCGAGTTAAGTTCTGCGGCGGTGAGCCCTCGGTGAAGTCTACACAGGAAGGAAGAACGCGCCTACCTCGACAACTTGACAGCCCACGGAACCACATCCCACCACAACCACGCGAGCATCTCGCAGGCGGTCCACGGCCGCGCGCCCAAATAATGCCATGGCATTGCTGTCGGACGATAGTCCTGCTGGGTCATGAAACACCCGCTCCTTCTTGAAGTCTTTCGGAAGAATGCCGACCAAGTCGAGGTACAACAGCTGCGACACAGGACAGCCAAACCCTACCGAGCCCCCCCCCGTAGGCAGGAACGATCTCTTGGTGGTTTTGTTTACCGCAGAACTTGACGAGCTCACGACATGCCAGGCCTGCCACCAAGGCACTGAGCGGGGCGAATTCAGTTGATGCAACACGAGCTACGTCGTGCACGAGCACGTCCGGCACGGGCTTGGACGGCACTACGGTTGGTCCAAACTGGGCGGCAGCAGTCGTCTAGCAGCGATGAGTGGACAGACGACACACAGCAGACAAGGTCATCTCACTTTGGCAATAAAGTCCCTTGTCAAGCTCAGAATTTCCAGCGCGTGGTGGACGTTGTTGGACTGGGGAAAGAACCCGTGGAGCTGACGGTAAGCGTACAAGCCTTGCATGATGGCGTGTAGTTGAGCGGGTCTCTCTTCTGCTCGATAGTTGAGTTGGGCATGGCTTTGTTCTTTCGTTTGTACCATTCGAGGAAGAGCGGTTGGGGCCATGGACGAGGCGCGGTGCGATGATATTTTCCCGAAACGATGTCTAGGAAAGACGTTGGTCGAAGCCGACTCGTCAGGACGAACGTGGTGAATGGCCCGCGAGCCACGAACTCTCTTGACCCGGAGCCGCGAGTGCTGGGTCAAATCAAACACAAACAGCGGCGACACGCCAAAGTTGACGTGCACTGTCGATGGCGGCGCGACTTGAGCAATCGAAAACTGCCGCCGATCGAGCCACGTCAAGTCGCTGGTCACGCCGTCCGTTCCAGACTGGCGGGCAAAGGCAAACTCGACCAAGTCCCCTGGCTGCAGCATCTGTACACAAACATCATGAAAAGCGATGAGCCGAGGAAAGCCCACCAAGTGAACGCATTGCTCTTGCACGACCACGTTGCCCGCGCCAACGTCCATCTGAACCACTGTAAACGCGGCACTTTCGTCCTCCATGGCCTGCACCACGTGAGACTCTATCGGCTGCAACATTCACGTGGGCCACACCATGTGATGGGGCCCGAAATCGACAAAGACCGACCCGAGCAACCCTCGGCTCTCCGCCACCACGACGGCAATCGGGGGAGTCTGTGCGTGGCAAAATTCACTCAGCCCCACGATTTCTTCGCGCGACATCGGCCCGCTCGAAAACACCACCGCCTAGCCCACGCATCGTAGTAGTGAGACAGAGATGGCTAACACCATTTTCGAACGAACATGGTAATGCAGGAGCAGTTCCGACGTGAGCGTCCCCGAGAGCGTGAGAAGGACTGTCGATGGAGCGATGCCGCTGAGCTTGTCCTTGACGGCGGACGATTTCTTCCTGCCCACATCCATTCGAGCATATACAGGCTACCGAAAGCAAGCAGCATGAATCGCAATCGGTTAACCCGGCTGTACGCACATGCGATGCAACGTCGTCGTCGCAGACGCAGTCATCGTCGTGGATCGTGACGGACTTGAGGCCATGGCCCAAGAGCGTGCGCACTATTCACGTGACCCCTTGAGAAAACGAACAGCCCAAGCATGTCAGACGAGCACAAACCGATGTCGACTCCAACTCCGCGCAACCCAACCACGAGAACTTGCATCGTCGTTATCGATTTCATCCTGCACCGCGCCACGTCGTGGTCATCCCCCGAATGTGTGCATATCGTGGGTACCATGTCGAGCCGAAGAGGAGCAGCGGGCGCGTGTAGTACTCCTTCGGAGTCACTGGCGACGGTGTCGGTTCGGCCATGGAATTTATGCAAACCGGACGCGATCGACGTGAAACGGCGACACGAATCTTTCAAGTGTCGGTCAAGATCAACGTCATCCAAGCATGTCGACGGGATTGCAGGGCATCTCCCCCATAACTTCTTACGCTACACGACGCATGATCGAAGCGACGCAAAGTCTTGTTATGCTGATTCATTCCGTCGCCACGAGGGAGAGGCGGTGGCATGGCTCATGGGCCAGACTCTTGGTTGTCGACGACAGAGCTGCTTTGACGATGCCCACGGCATCGAGAGATTGTACGTGGAGCCATGTGCACCCGTCAAATCAAACGCTGTGTTTCAGTTGGGGATGAAATTTCGTGAGGAGATCGCGGATGTTCGAGTACGGGTTGCTGATGGAGAGCTGGCGCGGGGTGTACCGAGAGTGGCACGTCCCAATCGATACGCAGAGGAAGGCCGCGACAAGCAGTGCCCAAACTTGCAATGTTATGCTGACGAGGTCTCGTACAATCAAGAGCGCGAGGCGGTCGACAGTGAGTGTCCTGGACGACGAGCACAGCGCCCCTTTCGTGGCGCACATGCGAATGGACACGTACTGAACCTCAGAGATGGAATCGACCACGACCAGGGCGGCGAGGAACGTCGCGACGAACACGCGAAAACTCGAGTGGAAGTTTGTCGAAAACCCAAACGCGATGCCGAGCATGGCCCCAAGCGGACGTTGGATCGAGTCGAAGAACGACGCGGCCTTGCCGGAATCGGGAAGCGACATCGAGTGGGCGATGAGGGTTATCTGAGCCGACAGCATGGCGACGCAGAGCCCGCGGAGAAGTTTGGCGTTGGTCTTGATCATGGTGACCTCGGGGACGTGGCACACCGTTTGCGTCGTGTGGACGTACCGGGTCCAGTGATAGCAGCACACAAGGCTAGTGAGAAAGAACGCCACACCACAGCCGTAGGCGATCACGAGGCGCATCACGTTGGCGTCAAATTCGTCCGTATCGGTTGGCGGCGTCGCCATGGTGTCCATCGAGGCCACATTCTTTGTGTCGAGTGTCGCCATTGTCAACTCGCTGAAACTGCAAATGCTTTGTGTCCGTTGATTGAAACGCCAAGGGGACGCCTTCAACTGCACGAACGAAACAGCGCCATAGCCTTCCCCGATTGCAGTAGTCCTTGCCATCGCCCACCCCCTCTGCGTGCCAGCTGCAGGCTTGGCATACCGTTCATGTCCGCGAATACTGTAGCACCTAGAATGCATTGTACCCAGCATGATGCTGGATTTTGTTCTCTCTTCCGAGCTCACGATCCCGCGGACACAAGCTTCAAGTTGTGTTGCAGTCACGTGTGGCAAGTGTGATTTGAGCTCCAAGCCTCCCCCCTTTCTGTTGTGCGGTGAGCTCGGTTGTACCCTTTGCATCGTTCCATGCATCCTCGCAATGAAATGTACACTACTGCCTTCGTCTCGACCAATGTTCTTGGACACTTGCCATCACGAGGTCGGACATCTCGAGCTCCCTTCCACTTGTCCATGCTCACGACACGTGGCAAGTCACACAAGGGGCCAAACAGGCTGGCGGCCCTGCCGTCGCCGTCTCTCGGACACGTGAGTGGCGCTCCTTGGAGATCGTGCGTTACTGAAGAACATTGCGTGGAATTGGACCATGCAATTGCCAGGTGAAACCACCAAAGGTAACAGCCCGTCGAGGCATAGATTCGCAGTGTCCAACGGTGCATCATCTGCCATTCGTCTCTATGAGTGCCATGCAGCCACGCACGGTCCTGCGGCAGACAACGCTGCCGCAAGCTATCGAGACGACGCCGCTCATCCGTCGCTTCTGCCTTGTCAACTTCGTGCTTTGCCTTGGCGCGGCACCCATGTTCTTTGTCTTTGCCAACAAAGCCATGACGTTCCAAGTGCTGTATGCGGCGGCGGGTGCACTAGCGCTGTCGTTGCTCCTCGCCAGTGCGATGGTACGTTTGACGAGGGCGGCCCGCCGTGTCACACAACGGTGCTTCTTCTGTCTAGAGTGCGTTGAAGTCGACACCGAGTCTTGTGTGGAGCATGATGTTCACGGTCGCCAGTGCCTACGGCCTCATCTGCACGGGGGGTCTGTGCGTCTTGTACTTGCCGTATGCGAGTGCCGAATTGACGAGCGCGACCGACTTGCAGTACGCCAAGAGTGTCGTCCTGCCAAGCGAGCTGAAATCCGTACGTGGCGACGTCGGTCCATCGTCTAGGCTCACCGATCTTGTAGCAAGCTGTTGTCGAGCAAGTGTACCTCCAAGTGGGCGGCACAGTGCAGCTCGTCCTGGGCCTCTTTGCATCGTACCAAGTGCGTCTGCAGTTTTACGTGCTGGGTGAAAAGGTGCGTCGACAGCATCTAACGTGGTCATTCGAGTTGTCTCTGACGGCGACACTTCTGCCAGCGCGCGTCTGTGGCATTTCTCCAGGTAGGCGCGGTTTGCCTTGCACCTATTCTTGGACAACTGACGTGGCCGTTGTGCAGGCCTTCAGCGCGTTCATGGTGCCGCTCTCGTTGTTGTTTATCGCGGGTGGCCAGTACATCATTTCGTCGCAAACGCTTGCTTCGGCTCCCTACACGGGTGGGTGTTTCAAGCGTGGTGAATGTAGTGGTTGATCGATGATTCGATCACCGTGCAGGAATTTTCATCTACATTTGCGGTCTTCTGGTGCTCGTGCTTTCGCTCCTCGCGTTCATCGGGTCTGGGTTTGAGTATCGCCGACTCCTCAACACGTTCAGCTGGCTGGCGTTCCTGACAGCCGTGCTTCTTCTGGGGGCGTCCATCGCGTGCTTGGCTGTCACGACGAACGTTCAAAAGTCGGTCATCAACAACTGGGGCACGATTCGCGTGATGCTGCCGCCGACGCTTCAAGCGCGTTACGACAAGAGTCAATTCGTTCTGTTCGTCGAGGTACACGAGGCGGACCTCCGGTCATGTTGGTGACGCCGTCCGATGTCGTAGCGCAACCTGCACGGCATGGCTTACGTCGGCATCATTTCTGGCCTCTTCATGCTCCTCCAAAGCTTATCGGCACAATCCGTGCGAGAAATCATGAACGTCGTCAAGCGCCGTGCCGCCCAGGACAAGCGATGCGCGCTGGACCCGGAACTCCATCCAGAATTTGTTGCTCGCCGCGAGGTCCGTGCTTGCGTGTGCTACAACGACGATGCCGACGCTCGCGTTGTAGTGGACGCTCATGTTCAAATCGTCCAAGCGCATTCAACGAATTTGCATGCGCGTCGTGTGCGGGTTCGCAACGCTGTTGCTCCTCGCGATCACGGTCGTCATGACCCTGAGCGTTGTGTTTACCACACAGTGCGCAAGTATCAGCAAGGCAGTAGAATGGCACTCGTTTGGCCTGGGCAATGGATCGACGCCCGCCGCGGTGTCATGCGAGTCGTACCACCTCCAGAACACGTTTGCCGCCGGGCGCTTGCAACTTGTCCGCGGCGACACGTTGCAAGGCAACGTCACGTTTCAGCAGAACGCTGTCTCGGTACGATTCAATTCCCGTCCCCCGTTCCCCACACCGCGGATGCAGGACAAATTTCTGGCCGTCGCTGCGTTCTCGAGTACGATCGACGCACAGAGCGTGTGCACGGTGGCCGCCGCGCCGACCAACTCGCCCACCTTTATGTGGTTTGACACGTCGTGTCAGGTACGAAGCGCCGCATCCGTTGCTCGAGTGACGTTTCGTTGCATTAGGTGGCCAACGTCAAGGTCGAGCTGCCGCGGGTGACGGAGCGTGGGGTCGTGCCGTTCGTGTCGCTGAGTTCGAAAACGTCGGCCATCGATATCAATCTCATTCAGGTGACGCCGTGCTGCAGCTTGGTGCAAGCGACCGATCGCACGAGTAGAACGGAACTTCGACCCTCGTCCAGGGTGTCAACATCACGACGGATCTGGCCAACGTCAATGGCTATGGCATGTACATTGGGTCAGGCGGGCTCTCGGTCACGTCCGCGTCCGGCGAACTCAACATGTCGACGGTGTTTGTGAACGCCACTCAAGTCATGGGCGATAAAACGCCGACCGTGCTCACGTCGTCGTTGGGGAGTGTGTCGCTTGCGAATGCGTCGTTGGTGGACAGCCCGCTGACAATGTACACGGACGTGGCGGGCATTGCCGTGCAAAACGTGATGACGTACGTGTCGCGTTGTGTGAGGCATGGGGGGCAGCGATGGCTCAATACGATGACAGGTCCGTGTCGCATGGCCGAAGCAACGTGGCCTTGTCCAGTGGCTCGGGGGGCATTGTTGTGTCGGACTTAAGCGCCGACTGGATATCGATGGAAACCACGTCCGGCGCCATTACGACCGACGGCCTCAGCTCGAACGTAAGAATCGTCCCGACGATCGATGTCGTTGCACGTTGACGGGCGCTCTCGTGTACAGGGCGATGGCGCTTTCACGGGGCGCATTGACGTGACCAGCATTGGCGGCGACGTCCGCCTCCTCAACACCAACGCCAAGGGGTACATACATGTCGAGACGAACTCGGGCAATGTCGTCGTGCACTTGGCGGTACGTACAATGGGCGCCACGTGCTGCCAACCCTCCGCTATTGTGCGATCATAGAGTGCGACATTTGTCGGGCTCTATTACGTCCGCTCCGAGTATGGCCTCGTGACGGTGCGGTACAGCAACTCGAGCTACGATTCGGTCAAGGCTCTCCCTGTAAGCCATCAACCTTGAACCACTCGAACGTCCATGTTGACACGGCGGTGGACTACATCTAGACGGCGGACCCGCACGAGGCGCAGGGTTTGATCAACTGCGACACGAGCTGTCATTACGTGGGAGACATTTACATCCGGACCATCTACGGCAACATCGACGTACTTGTCGGCTGCAAAGACACCACGTGTGCTTAGGCGCCGGCAAGAGGCGCGTTGACCGCCATGCGATTGAGTAACATAAATCGAGTTTCATTGTGCAGGCGAGGCGCGCGCGGGAGGTTGCAGTTACGTCATGAAACGACGTGAAACCGTCCACCGTGGGCACAGCACGGGATGGAGATCACGGAGGACTTGCTCAAGCGCCGCAGCAAACACTTTGACATTGCATGCATCCAACGACTCAACTTGTCGGGATGCGATATCGCGACGGTCGCGCTGCTCGAGGGATGCACGAGCGTCGTGGAGCTCAACCTGTCAAAGAACCACGTACGGCCCCAGAGGACGCAACACTTTCAAACAGGAATTCGTAGCTGCTGTCGCTGCGAGGGATTCCAACATTGTCGACGCTCAAGTCGCTTGATTGTTCATTCAACACCGTGACCACGTTAGGTATGTCGACAACGAGTTCATCGCGGGAAAAACGCACAACGTGAATTAGACGGCATGGCCCCGCAGCCCCAGTTGGAAGAGCTGCACTTGGAGGTACGTACCCAGCAGACACCCATCGTCCAAGGGAGATGATGGTGAAGATGGCCGCAGGGCAACGAACTGTCTCGGGTCGACTTTTCCACGCTTCAAAAGCAGGTACGACCACGTCACATTCCACCGTGTTTCGTTTTGCTAAAGGGACTCGACAGTTGCCTCGGCTACGGCGCCTCTTTTTGCATGCTCCTAACGCCCCCCGGTCGAACCCCGGTAATTCCAGAGCAAGTCCATTCGTCACCATTGCGTGTGTAGTTTGCAAAATGGACAAGTATATGGACATTGTGCACATGGCGATGCCGTCCCTCGAGAGTTTGGACGGGGAAATCTTTGCGCTGCGTCAAGTACTTCCACGTGCTATCCATAAAGTGTTTGCGGCTGGAGTTTGTTGGATTAGGTGAGCTCAGACCATCGCGTGAAGGACGATCCTGAACGCGACGCCGACGTTCGCGCGGCGTTGGCGGAAGCCGCGTGGGAAAAAGTATCGTGGGGCTTGCCGCCGTCGGACCCTACCTTTGTGCAAAAGAGTACGAAGAAGCTCAAAGGTACAACAATTGTGGCTCAATCGTTCCATTGTCGGAAGGCTGCGGCTCATAAATGCATTCCGTTGTCCCAGCTCTCTTGCTCGAATGCAACAGCGATCTCAACGGCGACTCGCTCGAGTTGCTCCAAAAGATGAACGTGATGCTGGCGTAGACGACGATGGTTGTGGTGTGGACAATCGCATGTATTATGGAAATAAGGACGGCGGAGTCGGGTTGGTTTGCTGTTTGCGAATCTCTTCGCGCTTGGTCCACAGCTTTTCGCGTTCCAGCACCATCGCCTGGCGCAACTCGGCCATTTCTGCTTTTATGTGCTCCATCTCGAGCTTTCGCGCGGCCGCTTCCGCGGCGCGGTCCTTGGCCGCCTGCTCCATGTGCGCTTTGATGTCTTCTAAATCTTGGGCCAACTTTTGCGTCTCGGCTGCAAAAAAGTCGGACCCGAGCAAGACTTCGGGCTCTGACCCACCAACTTCCGTGATCGGAGCACAGCCGTCCCCAAAGAGAAAGTCGTATCGAGCGAGCATCTCCTTTTGCTGCTCGGGAGTGTACTCTGCCGCTACCATGCGATCGATCGCTTCCTGGCGCTTTCCCACAAACAGCAGTCGGCTCACAACGCCGCGCACTTCTCGCCCACGCTCCGCTACTTCCCAGCTGTGTTTGATGGCGGCGTACTTGTTTAGCGCCGTGCAATCGGGTGTGAGTTTGGCGGGTACCATGCCAAACACTTCGAGTCGCCACGTGGTGTCTGAGGGATGTCCTTCTTCGCGCGTTGAGGTGCTGACGGCGGGGGTGGGAGGAAAGCTCGTGCCCGGTGTGTACATGTCGGGCGTCGCGTCGCGAGGTTTCGAAATCAGTCCGTTGTACGGATGGACAGAACGCAATGAGTCCGGGACCACCCATTTCGTCTCGTCGAACGTGCCTTGCACAATGTAGCCCGACGGGCCGCTGCCATGGTCCGAGCACATGGGCAGCTGCATGATCTGCGTGCAGTTGTAGCCCGTGGACTTGAAAAGGACGCTTCCAGTCGCAGCATCGACGACTTCGAGTTTGATCGCGGCATTTTGAAACGATGTCGACAGTTTGAAACAAGTGTGGATGGCAGCCATCGACAGCTGCGGCGCCGCCGAGACGCCGCTCGATTTGGACGACGCCTTGCCTTCGTCTTCACCGACCTCAGGCACATACTGGTCACGAAACAACGTTAGGGACTTGTTGGGGGTGTACGACCCAGCAAAGATCGATGGCACGACGGGAATCTGCGTCAACGGTGTGTGAATCACCCAGTCACTTGCGACCGTGATGTGAAACGTGTTTGGTGGAATGACCACGTTCGGGCATGGCAGGCACTCGAGCACAACGGTGTAGCTCTCGGACGGGTGGACGCTGGTCAAATCAAAGTAACCTCCCAGCAGACTAAGTCGCGTCGACTCGCTCGACGTGTTGTTGACGAGATGCACGTGAAAGTACGGCGTCGCGTTCGCGTCGAACATGTGAAAGCCAAGGTAAAGCCGATTCTGTTCCGGGCGCGCATCAGGTGCCGTCAGCGTCATGTTGAATCGATGGACAACGTGCCACGTGCCATGCGCCATGGCGTTGTACGATCCATCTAAGAGCTCGACGTTCATTTTGCAAACTTCCTTCAAGCACGAGTCGATGGGATGCACGTGGATGGGCACGTCGCTCTCGACTTCCAAGCTGTACCCGTTCGCGAGGTCGTGCGGGTACAACCGGTAGACGTGAACACCCGGGCCGACGACGTCGAATGGCCACGTCACGTTTGCTTTGAGCACCCCCGCGTTTTGATTGATTGTCGAAAGCGATGGCGTCGGCCAGCTCAGCTGCTTCTTCTCAACAAACATCATGCCTCTGTCCCCGCTGGGTGGCAATGGCGTCGTGGGCGAAGCTGCATCGACGTCGATCGGCGCGCACGTCAGTGTCACGTACAAGGTTGTGGACGTCACGGTTTCGGGAACATGGACCGTGAGGCACTTGGGCAACGCGTGTGGATACGGCCGATGGATGGAGCGGTTGTCAGTAGGGTCGTCATCGATGCTCCTGGAGGATGAGGTCAGTCGTTGCCATTTCAACAGGCGTTTGGGGTCGACGCACCACTCTTCGACCAACTGGTGCGTGTACATTGGCAATGTGTGCAGCACGACCGTTGTGAGTTTGTGGTACTCGATCGAATCCGACGTGAAGTGGAGGGTTTCGTGGGGGGCCATGTGCGGATGCAGCGTAAAAATGTTCATCGAGAACAACTGCCCTGGCTGGGACGGGCGAATGCTCGACATCACGAAGGCTTCGCCGCACGACGAGTTGAACACGCGCGTCTTGATACTTGCAAGCGAACACACCAAGAGGACGTTCTACCCTCAAGGCAAAAACGTGAGGGTTCGGAGGGGCAAAGGCACGAGCGGTCGTACACTTGTGGTCACGGTCGGTTGGACTTCTAAATTCGGCGGCACTCTCGCGTCCAAGCATGGCGTGACCTACCACGCTGCCAGTGAGTCCGCGAGGTTGCAACGGAAACAGCATGTCGTACTTTGGCGATTTCGTCGGCCGCTTTGGGGTCCGTCAACCCCACGTACGATCGCGATTTCCACCCGGTCAGGGTATTGAGGATGAATCCGACTGACTGCGGCACGGTCGCGGGCTGATTCATGGAGGGCAGTGTGCTGGTCCATGCAAAAACCTTGTAGATGGCTTTGGCCAGGAGCGTCGGCCAGATCTCACTCGCCACGGAACTGCTCAGGATCACGACTTTGCCATGTTCGTCCAGCGGCATGCGGTCGTCGACTTCGATTTTCCGCCACTTGCCCATCACAAACAACTTGACGAGGTACTTTCCCCCCGGGTTGACGGTCGGAATCCGTCGGTTCGTCGCTGTCACTGTTTGGGGATAAATCGCCTCCCAAAAGAACGGCTGGTTGGCCACCAGTCGATCGACCAGCCGACTCACGACTCGACATCCTGACGCCAGTGGCGCATCCACGTAATCTCCTTCCGGGATCGTGGGTTTGACCACCGGATTCGGTTCGATTTCTATCACGGGGGCCGAGCCTGGACGAGTTCGCGTTAGGGCTGGCTGTACACAGAGTTTAGTACCAAAAATATCGGTAAAGAGCATGGGGGCTGGTTCGCCGGTCGTCGGAAAGTCAAAGGTCTCGTCACCATCGTCACCGTCGTCGAGCAAGTCTTCGTCGTTTAATTCGGCTTCTGTTGCTTGTTTGTGGGCGGCGATTGCCTTTTGAAGCTTGACCAAACAGCTCTCCTCGTACGTCATCAATGCCAGCTCCTTCTTTTCCTTTTCGCTTTGAATGCGGGCTTCTTCTGCTTCCCATCTGAAAAACGCGACCAACGCGTTAGGTGTCGTCGATGTCGTGGTTCATATTACCGCTTGATGTCGTGGGCTTGCTCCGCACTCCACACACGTTGAAAGTCGTTGGCCCACTCGAAGCGCTCCGCATGCAATGGTGGGGCAAACCCAGGATGCGATCCTTCGAACTTCTCAACCATCGGGTCCAGCGAAGCATCGTAGAGCACCTGTCCGGCCACACTTCAAGCGCTGGTCTATTTAGTGTCATTGCCGAGGAACATACGTAGCAACAACGGGGAACTTTAGGCTCTTCTGCCTTGACATCGACGGGCTCGTTCTTCTTGCCAGGGGCCAAGTTGCCCTTTTTTGTGCCGCCACCGGGGGTCTTGACTGCCGCAACGGACGCCGCGGGCTTCGCAGGTTCAGGCAGCGGTGGCAGATACTGTTGGGGCCGCTTCCACGTTATCGTTGTCGACTAGACGAGTAAGTGTTATGTTTGTGGTGTCGGTAAAGTTGACGGTACGTCGATATGAGGAGGTAGCGTGGGCAATCCCGTCGGATCTTCGAAAGGAGCCGCTGGAGTGAACCAGTTCTCATGCTCTAAACGAGATAACGCACTTGGTCAACATGATATAGGAACCGACAGACTACCAAGATTATCGTTCCATTCTGGAAAGCTCACTTTTGGCATTGCAGATGGGATGGACAGTGGCGGCACGTTCTCTGGAGGTGGATGAATTGCGAGACGCTACCAACCCGCATGGCAGCCCGTCATCAAGAGAATATGTCATGTCCATGCAGTACACACACCTCACGGTCCTCCGACACAATCACCTGCGGTCCATCGTCTTGGATATCCTTGCCTGGCTTGGCCGGCGCCGGGGCTGGCTTCTTGGGTCCCATGACGAAGTGTCCCTTCAAGCGGCGCTAGTATCCGGACATATTTCCGGATAATCGTCCATGTTGAAACGGCCGAGCGTGAGTGAAGGGGGAGTAAGTTGTTGCGGCGGTCGTTACCAGAGGCCCGATCTTGCTCGCTCGGGCATGTGGAAGTCAACGTCGTCGATCGTGGGCAAGACCAGCGGCTTGGATGACCAGCCCATGGTAAGGTACTCGCGTGTTCGGTCTCTGCCTCTGACGCAAGTGGCTGCCGTTGCGACACAGGTTCTGCAACAAGAAATCAACGATTTTCTGCACGTTGCGCAGAATCGCAAGCAGCAAAAGCTTGTCCCGCGCATCAACAAGTATGAGCGCATGCCGCCCTTACCTTCTGAACTGGGACTCATTCACGTGGACGTGGCATCTGTCCAGGGTCGACTTCACCAAACCTATGCCAGAGACTGAGTTCGCTCTGTGCCTTCAACTTCAAATATACAACAAAGACTTTGTCGACGTACGTCGTCCCGTTCCTGTGCCATCGTCGGAATCTGACTGTTCCTTGCAGGGGTGGCCACTCTCATCCATGACATCCATTGCATCCATGTCGCTCGCGTCGATATCCCTGGAGCGCGACCGGGGCAAATTCACACTGGTGATGCGCATCCCCAAGAAGTATCCCCATGCAGCTCCAGACATTTCGTGCGTCACTGGCGGCGAAGTACGTTCTCCGTTATTTCGTTCAAGGCAATTCTCATGTCACGTCGTGGTAGTACATTCCACCACAACTCAAGCAAGGCCCTACCTTTGTGATGCCCTGGATCCAACAAGGGTGGCCGTCAACGTATTCACTTTTGCATTTTGCAGAGGACTTGTGCACGGCCCTCGGCGCCCCCGAAAACATTTCCACGACCAGCTTTCTCTCTGAGCAGAAGGTGTTTCCTCTGGATTCGAGTCACATTGGGTCACGAACATCGCAGCGAGTCCTTGACCATTCCAGTACGACTGCCATATTTGCCAGTAGTGCCACACACGTCGAGAGAGAGGCTGATATCCGCTTACAGAGGCATCGTGTGGCAGCAACGAACATGCGACGGACTTGCTCATGTTGCACGACGAGCCGGCAAAGCCGTCGCCATTTCAAGGAGGGACGGCAAAGTTGGCCACAGCGACACCAACACCCACAAATCCGTTTGATTCTGGGCCACACACCTCCGTGACGAACGTAACAGCGTTGAATCAAAGCAATGGCGGGGATGTGTCAGGCAGCGCAAAGCGAGGGTCGCCGCACCCAACCCACGATCTGTTGGGCATGCACCACCAGCTAACTCCAAGTGCCCATGGGCATTCCAATGGCGCACCCGTAGTGGATTTGCTAGGGATCGATTTGGGAATCCAGCCATCACCACCTCGAGCCATGCAAAGAAGCAACGACCGTAGCGGGGACAGCGGCCATCTGGCGATTCAAACGACTACTCTTGGCAACACCAGTCCCCAGGGGAACGTCCAGTCCCCCCGTGGGCTCGAAATGCGATATCAAAGCAACGAGTGCTGCATCAAATGCAAATTCAAGGATGAAGCGCGGCGGTTTGTCTTCGAGAAAACGATGACGTTCCAGCAACTGCAGGACGCGATCGTTCGTCTTTTTCAGTTTCCCCCGGCAACTATCGTAACCTTGGCATATTTGGACAGGTGCGTGGATGACTGCGGGCTTACCGCTCACAAACTCGTGTTCTGAATGCAGTGACGGCGACAAGTGCGGCCTGTCGTCGGACGAGGTATGGCGTGCTTTGTATTAACTAATACTGAACAAGGCGCAACACAGGAACTTCGCGCAGCGCTCTCTCACTACCCCGACACATTGATTCTTCAAGCCGACATCAAGCCCGGCGAGCACTCAAAGAAGGCCGAATCTCTGCCACCGTCACCGCTTCTCCCTGCCCGTAACGATTATATCGGCATTAGAACCCATGCATGCGCCACGTTGCTCATGGTGATTTGCTTGCATGTGTAGAACCCAAGGCGGAAGACTCGATTCTTCGAGAAATCAAGATCGAGGTTCGATCAACTTTGATGGATAGCGATGCCCGTGACCATGTCGTTGTTTGGTAGGATGTCAAGCTGGAAAAGTGCATCGGAGTCGGATCGAGGTCTGCGGTCGTGGTATGCAACGAGTTACTCATAGACTTGCGTCGATGTGTAGCTGCAAAGTGTACAAAGCAATCTGGCGAGGCACAGAAGTCGCCATTAAAAAGTACGCCGCGGGTAAACGTAAAGGACATGGACTAATGTCACGATGACCAGGTTCACGTCCCAAAATGCTGATACTGTGAACAAAGAGTTCAGGCATGAAGTCCAAATGATGGCGCACTTGGGCTGCCATCCGTGCATTGTGCTGCTTTTGGCCGTATGCTCAACCCCCAAAAGCATTGTGTTCGAGTACCTTCCGTTTTCACTTTTGTACGTCACGGCATAACTCGCACGGCACGTTGTGATGGATGTCGTCGGTAGCGAGCAAATCAATGGCTCCCAGGACCCGTCCAAGAAAATACCGCCGTTCCCAAACACGTGGCAAAAGCGCCTACAGATGATTGTAAGCACATTGTGCGGTCGCTGGCGTCTCAGTAGTAGTCGCGTTGTAGATGGACGTGGCGCGGGGGCTCCAGTTCCTACACTCGTTCAATATCGTGCACCGCGACCTCAAGTCTCTGTAAGACTGCGCTGAATGGCGAGTCTTCTGGTCTGAGAGAGTTTTAGAAACCTGCTCATCACAGACGAAGGCCGCGTCAAACTTGCAGGTGCGTATATCACCGTTCGCTGTCGCTATGGGATGTCGTTCGTCACGCGTGACCATCTAGATTTTGGCATTGCTAAGCTAGCCCAGGACGAGTTCATGACTCGATGCTGCGGCACGTACCAGTGGATGGCTCCGTATGCTAGCAATGATGTCGCCCACTTGCCGAGCTTACGTGGCGTGATGTTGTAGGGAGGTCATCGTGAGCCAGTCGTACTCTGTGAGTGCGGACATTTACAGCTTTGGCGTTGTCATGTGGGAAATATGCGAAGCGTCCGTGCCGTTTGCCGACACGCCTGCGGCCCTGGTCGCCATGGCAGTCATCCAGGAGAACAAGCGACCTACCATCTCGCCCAACATCCCAACGGTACGTCGCTCCTCCAACGTTGTACGAAGAAGATGCCACGCCCTATTTCTCGATCACTTCTTAACAATTCCGTGGCGCCGTAGCCGTTGAAGGAACTCATCTCAAAGTGCTGGCACAAAGAAGCAACCGTGCGCCCTGATGCGGCCACAATTGTGAACGACCTGACCAAGTTTCTTCAAGCTAGCCAAACACCGACGTAATCGACACTTGCATGCCACATGAGGTCAACGCTTTCGTCATGATGACTCAACAGCGATGGATGCACTCAAGAACTCGCTCGGAGATGGCGCGGAAGCTGCGTTAAATAAGAATATTGGCGGTGTCGAATGGCGTGGTCTGTATATTCGACCAAGCCAGATGCGCACACGACGTTGCCATCAACGTTCAAGTCGCGGACGCCTCGTCGCTCGAGGTTTGGTTCGGTGAACTCCATGGCTTTACACGCGGGGACGCGAATGCTTTTTTCAGGTCCTGGACACGCCTTCCATAGAGCGACGTTGAAGGGCTAAAGGGTGCAGGTACAATGTGAATCTGGCCCAGCAATCGTCTAGCGCACTTAGATGACACAACGCATACCGAAGGAGAACGCTTGGCTGGGGGGCGATCGAGGGACATCCCAAGTGAGGTTGCTGCAACTTCCGGAGAAGCGTCTCGACTGTGATGGGCAGAATGACGCCAGTTTCCTCTGGGTCCATAGCTCGCACGAGCAGTGTAATCTGCGTAGCAGGCGCCATCCAAACTCAGGATCTCTATCGACGACGGCAGTGCGATGACGTACGTCGTGCTGTGTCCACCCGAGGTCCATGTGAAACAAGATCGAGCGCAGCTTGGACACACATACGGATCCATCACCCGCGCGGTCGGCCTGGCCGAATAATTCGAGCACAGATATGCGGTGCTCCGTCAAGTAGAGCTGCAGAGTCAAGAGCAGCTACCGACGCAACGAAGGGGGGGGTAAGCTATGGTTGAAACCATAGCAACAACAACGTGGACCACCCTACCACGTTGATGTGGTTGGTGGGCATGATTTGAGTGCGGGGGCTTTTCGACGGCGCAGACCGAATCGACCGAACAGATCGAATCCCGACTTTATCGTTGTGAATGTCTTCGTCGCGATACCTATCAGCAGAGCGTTGCCGTCAAACGCGTGGCTCCACAGTTGAGAGAGATAATCTAGTCGTACGCATGAATGGCATGCAAGCGGCGCTTGGCTTCGTCGTGGATCGGTCCATCAATTTGTCGCTATTGAGGCGGCGGTCGGTTGAATTTGAGGCGAAGATGCACGCACCGGGATGCCAAACCCATCCTTGAGCGGACCGTTGAACAGGTTGTGTTTGGCAGGGGTCGGCGGCAATCGATTCTTCTGAACGTTGTCGATGCTCTGTCGCTTCTGCGAGTTGCTGAGGACTCTGCGCGTACTCCTCGCGAACTGGACGCACCGAGTAATGAAGGATCTTGTGCATCATGACTTTGATTTCGTTTTGGTGGTCCACCAGGGTCGTGTTCACGGCACTCTTACGATTTCGGCTCAGCCTCGCCGACCTGTAGCAGCGCCCTCTCAACTTAAGCACGATAAGGTCATACGTACAAATCAGTGGCAGCGATGGGAGTTGGCGGGCGCCGCCGTCCTACAGCGCCATCGTTATTTTGACTTGACACTTCGAGAGAAATACTCACGCAGCGACACGATGCCGGGCTTGGACGTCTTGGCTACAGCAGTATTGTCGGCCATATATAGCCACAATTGCGTTGCTTTGACGATCGGACGTACCTGAAGCTAAGCCAAACCCACAGTGGCCCTGGGGGTTAATGCTGAGCAACTTCATTTGGTGGTTGATCAGCTCATCGTAGACAGCGACGCGCCCGCCAAAGTTGCGCGTGTCGTTGTGGAAAGCTCGGCGCGACGGCGTTGCCGGGGCCATCGCTGTCGGTTGGCCAAACTACACTTGGTGTATGACGCGGTATGGGGCTAAATATAGGCTCGTGTGTGGACGGACCACAGAGGCGAGGAATCGCATGATTCAAACACATTGAGTGATTACTTAAAGCACGGAAGGGACTCGATGTACGCTTTGATGCTTGCGCGAAAGAGTTTGCACTTGATAGGATTCCCGCTCCGTGCGTCGTGGGCGGGGTTCTTTGTCACCAACTCGACGTACAAGTTGCCGTACATGTGCTGCAGAGCGTCCTGCAAATCACCACTCGCGCAATCCGTGGAGAGAATGAAGCGAAGTCCAGACGGCGTTTCCAAGTGGTGGCACGTGTACACGTCTGTTTTGAACGTCTTGAGCGAATGCGTTTGCGGGGTCGACGATGGAGGCGACATCTTGCGGAGGAACTCTTTGAGCGAGAAAATAAGCCCAAACATGAGTCGCTTTTCTTCTTCTGCGTCATTCAATGTAATGGCGTCGCTCGACCGGTTCCATTCCTCGTACATGAGGCATGCTCCCGACCGATTGAAGATGTAGAAGTTGTAAATCATTGCTCGAGCTGCCCTTAGCCGCCACACTGGCAATCCAACGAGATATCCGGATAAGGTTGGAGGATATCCGGGAATGTAAGAACACAACACAAGAAGGAAGACTTCCATCGTTCACAAATAGTTGACAGAACGTATTGCATAATCGCAGTATCTCGAGCTGGCCACTGTGGACTTGCGCAGCATATACGTATATTGGAAACTCAGGGAAAATAGGAATGCAGTCCATGCTTGACAAGATAATAAGGAATCGTGACTTGCGAGAATTCATGAAAAGAGTCACCAGATTATCAATTGTCAACTGACATAATAAATTGTCTAGGATAAAAAGAACGAACCACTTTATTGTGCGTGGGGTGGTTGGTGCTCTAATTGATACCGACGAGTTGTCAACATATCCTACACGTCACGTCTACGCCATTCAAGAAACGGCGTAGATGGACCTAAGAGAGCCCTTAAGTTTGAGCTTGTCGGCCCGACGATGCTGCTGGTGGAAAAAATATCAGCCTTTGTACGTACGTCCCAGTACGACGGGCCGTAGACTACGTGTTGTACTCGTTTCTGAAAGCCTTTCCAGCAAACACGACGATTGTTTGTCCCTCCGAAGGAAAAGATGCGTGCCCTATGGTAGCGTGAAACGCCAGTGATTTCAGCTGAGGAAGAGCGAATGAAAATGATCGATCTTACCATCGCGGCGTGGGAATTGATAAGAGTCCGTTTGGAGGGAATGTCATTCTTAACCGTCTACAAAGTCACAATTGAAGACTTGAAGCTCCGAGATGAAGAAGCAATACAGCCAAGTCTCGGCGATGCTCAAGATCTCTGGCGTCGGCTTTGAACTATCAACGTGTCGATTCAACTGCACAACTGGGTCGTGGCAACAGTTCCTCCAAGGGAAACCAAGCGATGGGCAGTGTGGGAGACAAAACAATTTCCACAGTACGCCCTGTGTCAGCAGTTGTTTGATGGGACACTCGCAACCGGTGAGTTTGCAATTACTTCGAAGGCCTCGGACAATGCCATGAACAATATGGACCATGTGTTCCACCAGGACGAAAGCGAAGACGACGATAGCAGATGTGACGCAAACTCGGTCTCACTTGATGGGAGCCATCGCAATAAGCGGTCTCAGGTGCTCCAAGTGATGCAGGTATTTCCAAGCGCACACGACCAACCATGGTGTCTTCAATGCTGTCACAAATTGGTGCATTCAATAAAGCCTGTGAAAAGGAATTGGAGCTCCTCGCGACATTGTGTCTGTTCCAAGGAGAAAGTCAAGGTATCTAGCTTGGAGCTCGCGATTCAAGTATTGCAAGAAGAATTCGAGGATTCAATGACGTCGTACGACATGTCAACAGCGTTTGAAGTGATGGAAAACCCGACAAAAGCGTTCATTTTTTGCGAATGAGAGGTGAAGCTCGCGATGTGTGGCTCCAAAAGCAGATGAGAAAGGTGACATATGAACTAATCTAATTCAAACTACTGATGACGAGTCCGTCGTTCTCGCAACGTTTCCGTGTACTGCTCCCACATGTCCGAAGCAATGGAGTCTCACCAAACTTTCGCTTCATTGTTTTTTGGCGCGTTATTGTCTGCTGCTGTCACCCTATCGTCACTTTGCCCCAAGTCTTGCGCATACTGGTTCTCGAAATCATCGCGGTTGCCTTCAATTCGGAGAAAGTTGTGCACCACACAAAGAGCCATCAAGAGGTCAGCTTGGAAGGGAAAGTCGTACTGGACAGGGGTGCCAAGAACCGGAAATCTCTTCTTCAGCACACCAAAAATACTTTCGATGACATTTTGAAGGGATGCGTGGCGCAAATTGAACAGTTCCTCCTTAGTTTTTGGTCTTTGACGCCCACGACCGAATTCATTCAAATGGTATCGAGTACCACGATACGGGGTCAACGCCTAGGTCGTCAGAGCAATCCCGCGTCCAAAATGTCGAACTGATTGTCGGATATAGTCAATCCATGACTCATTGCGTACTCGTAGAGCTTGCCGTCGCCAGCAGTGCCGTCCCATCCCGCGAGGACATAAGTGAATTTCTTGTCGAAGTCGCATGCTGCCAAGATGTTCATGGTCACACCTTTGCGACTTTGAAATCTTCAGATCATGTCTTCTCGAACGAACTCTGGCATGTGTATTCCATCGATTGCCATACGGCACTGATCAAAGAACGGCGAGAACGTTGGGCTTAGACGTATTTGGTCCGGCACCGGTGCGTCTTGCCGAGGCAACCGAATGTAGATTGGACACATTCTTCGAAGTGCAGCCAACACAGCTCGAAAGTGTCGTGAGATAGACTCGCCCTAGTGCTGAAAACGCTCCTGCAGAGCTCGACTGGACACATGATTGCCGGCAAAGTACAAAAACATTGCCACTTGCTCTGTCGTCGTGATGCGGGCAGTACTTTGTAGTCCACCAACGTCCTCTATTCGGCGGACAAGTCGTTGAAAGCAGACGATTGTCATTCGAAAGATCTCAAGTTCGACTCGCGCTTGGGGTTCTTGAGTATGTAGGCATTGTAGTGGTACACGATGTACATCACCATGAGTTGGCGTCGACGGCGGAAAGTACGCAGCCGCAAGAAACTCAAACACAACGCCTGCTTCATGGGGTGCAACACAAGTTTCAAAACACAGTCTACGCTGTATTTTCGGAATTGCGTTTTTCCTTCAAAACTGCCGTTTTGGGAATCAAATTTGCGGGCACCCAGACAGCCGTTTCGCAAGATTCAAGTTTCTTTGCCGAACCTTGTGAAATTTGCATGTTCTAGGGGACTTACTGTGGTATTGCATGACATGCAGATGACATCCAGATGGGCCCTAAACGAAGAACCGATCAAAAAGCCGTTCAAGAATGCCTTGTCATTCAAACGTAACGAGATATGAGCTCAGTTTGTGTAAGCACATGTGGATTCATGTAATTTGAACGATTTGTCTTGCTCAATATTGCTGAGGCAACAGTAGGCCATGGCGACAACTCTAACAAAGCCTGGCAGCGATCCTGACCGCCCACAGTCATGGCAGGTCGGCCGTCCTTGTGATAGCAACGTGGGGCGGTACGATTCCGCAGTGCCCGACCGTCCAAGGTCATGGCGACTTGGCTTGGCTGATTTTCTTAAACAAAGTTTTGAAAATTTTAAGACTTGGTCACGCAGGTCGGTCGTCCTTGTGATAGCACGTGTGGCGGCACGACCCAACAGTGCCCGACCGCCCACGGCCATGGCGACGTTGTTATGCCCTGTGACAGTGTCGCCGTGGCCATGGACGGTCAAGCATGTCTGACTTGTGCTGGAGGAGTCCTTCGAGACCAACAAAAGTCATGGTGACACAACACATGGTAGTACCTGGGTTGGACTGGACAAGCCGTTATTTTTAATATATTTTGTGCTTATTGGGCGAAGCAAAACTGATATAGAAGTATCAGGAGTGCTTCCACACCTTCAACTGTAAAAATATTTCTAAAGTCATTACAACGCTTTGCCTACAAATTTTCATATTAAGTGGAGTACAACTTCGTCGAGTTTTTATCAAGCTGACTGTAGTGCTTGGATGGCACGAAGAAAATCCAAAGCCGAGAATGTCCGTGTTCGGCGAGTTTGGAGGCTGATACTTCAACTCCATGTTCCATCCATCTGCCATACATTCATTGATGATATTGAGGTCCGACGTTGTTCTGCTGGCGCTTGGACTCGACTGCCGACCACTTGGACTAAATTGCTGGGATCACGTTATCGATCAGCATAGCCTTGTACACGTCACGGGTTACGCTGACCGGGGCAGAGACAAGGGTTCAGGCTGGGCGATTACGGCTGCTTAGAGCTGTTAGCAGTTTCTCGGTGAAGTGCCACGTGCCTATCTTGTCATCAAACCACTCTTACTTCGCGTAGACCAAACGCGTCCGGGCGATAGCAGAAATGAACGCCACTTTGGCAATGAACTTCTTGGACTTGCATGTGCGTGGGTCGGCTCTTCTCCAGGAGCAAAGTAATTGGACTTTTTTTACCGTGGTGGCGAAAAAACCACTTTTCGTCAAGTAATGCGGGCAATACCCATCATGTTTGAGATGACATGGGTGTCGTCATCACGAGCGTGCACAATGTTGGGATCCCGCTTCATGCGCACCACCTTGTTAGCGTCCGTATGACCAGGTCGGACGTAGCTCGAGTACTTGGCAAAGAATCCTTGCTTAAAACGTTCGTGCAATTTAGAATGTGCAATCCCAAGGGCAGCAGCAACCGAACGGAACGTGACTTTGATGACTTTCGCAGTCGTTCAGCTTCAGAATGGTACGTTAGTTTTCTACAACAACGAGCTTTTATACGTGACGAGACTTCTGCACATGGACGTAGTTTGTCATTGAGATTGACTGCTGCTTACTTCCAGTTGAGACGAACTGCGCTGCGAGTAACACCCAATTTCGATGTATCGACATCAAGAGCGCATCTGGGAGCTAGGATTCAGCACTGACAAGTGCAAGCCGTTTCTGGAGAATGACATTCCGATCAGAATCACTGAGGTTCTTGGTGCCCATTTCAAATTTGACCGCGATTGCAAACGACATGTCCGGTTAGTTCCCAAATTTTCCGGAACCGGAATTCCACACATTTTTTTTGCGAGCTCAATCGATATAATTGGACATAAAGTATTGACAGTGGTGGGCGGCATCGAGGGGATTTCAACAAAAACTATAAACTGTTGGAAAAAGTTCACAACGTGCATCCATTATCAATTTTTCCTTGACCTGAAACTTTATAGGGTACAAACTTGTTCAAACGATCAAGAACGTCTCGAAAGCTCGTTCCCTCGCAGTACTGACGTCCGACATCACCCTTGACGATTGCCCATACTAACTCAATTGGTTGTAGGTCCGAGTGATACGGCGGAGTGTACACAACGGTGTGCCCTCGAGCACTTGCCATCGCGACGACGACAGGACGTTGTCATCAATGTGTTTGCTCAGGTACGTCCACAACGTGCACTTCGGATCGTTGCAGTTGAATGAGATCCCGTAGGTTCTGCACGCGTTCTGAAGAC